CTTCATCTTACACAAACCCCATCACACAAAATAATTATAAATAAAAAAGAAATCGTCCATTACTGTTCCACACAAATTTAAAAAAGCTGCCGGCTGCCGTGTGGCCGCACCAAACTGTCTGTATATTTTGTCCGAAAATAAAATTAAAAGATATTTAAATGTATTTCAGCCGTCCGACCCTCTGTGTGTCCGCACATCGTTTATATTTCATGGGGTCATCGGCGTGTTGCTGCTCCCCTCAGCCCTCCCATCGGCGCGTGAGTGCGGCCCGCAGAGCACAGTCACTCGTGTGTGTGGGGACTGAGAGAAGCACGCAGACACGACGGCAGTCGCGTCACTCCATCGGGAGAGTGAGCGCAGCAAAAGAAAAGAAAAAATCATCAGGGGGAAAAGAAATGCTCACGAGGCCGACACCGAAGGGACTGCCGGCACAAGAAATGCACACGAAAAGCAAAAATCTTAAAAACACGGCGGCAGGGTGTGGCTGTGTGTGTGGCGCTGCGGGTGTCTGCCCGCCCTGGCTGCAAAGAAGCAAAACAAGAGGGAAGAAATGTGTGCTCCGCCCCACAGGCCCTCGTCGCACGCCCACACGTCACGGCTCCCTCAGCGCGCCGTTCGTCGCGGCCCCTCCTCATGCGTGCAGCAGGCGAGGCGCACAGGGCCGTCGTCATGAGCGTGTCGGTGGGTGTGCGAGTGCAGCAGTTGGGCGGGAAACACACGGCACCCCTCACAGGACGAGTGCAGCAACAAACAATTAAAGAGGGAAGAGTAGAAAAGAAAAAACCGTCCATAGTGATTGCCCCAAAAACAAAAAAAAAAAAAAAAAGGAGAAAAAATGAAAACAATAAAAAACAATTTTAAGCAAGCAGAAAAAAAATTAAATTTACAAAAAGAAAAAAACAGTTACGGTGCTCCGCCCATGCAGCCAGGCAGGACGGCAGCGGTGCGTGTCGTGCAAAAGAGAGCAACAACGGGCCTGCATGGGTGTGCATGCATATATACAATGGGCACATTATGTGTGTGCCTCGTGGGGTGAGGTGAGGGCGAGAGTCCATGCAAGGGGACACACACGGAGAGTGAGTGAAGGACGAGTGTGTGTGCGGGCGGTGCACGGCTCTCTCACACTCACTCTCACGCGGCCACCACCGCAGCCGCACACGCAAAAAGAAAAAGCAAAAGAGGGGAGGTGGTGTGGGCGACCGCGGTGCTGCTGTCACTGTCGCCAGGTGTCGTCGTATTATTTTGCACAGCTGCAGATTCAACTGTTGTTCCGTATTCATTCCCAGCTGTACTCTCACGCTGTTGTCCTTCATCCTTCAGTTGGGCATCGGATATTTGTGCATTTTGAAGTTTTTTTCTGGGCCCTCGTTATCCAGGCTGCCGGTAGTTTCACTGCCACTGGGAGACGAAGACTGGGATGTTTGCTCCTGGTTGCTGCCTGGTGATGTATTCTCTGCAGGAATTTTGTCGGGTGCAGCCACTCTCCGGGATTTATCCTCGTGTGATTCAGGCGTATTTGGTGGATCTTGTGGTGGTGCTGGTGCTCCGTCCGCGCCCTCCCGTGCTTCGGTCGGCTGCAGTCCTGTTTTTGGTGTTTTTTCGTCTTTGTTGTGGATCGTTTTGCCTTGCACGCCCACGCTGTTTTGATTCGATCCCTCCGCTTCTGAGTGATTCCTTTGCTCTTCTTCACTGCGAACGTCATCGGAATGCGGCTGGTGGCCAGCACCACCTGCTGGGCTGTGGACATTGGTATCGACATCACCTTCCACATTTAAGGAAAGAGGAAGTGGAGAAGACACTCCGACATTATCCGCGCCAGCAGCCGTTGAAGGTTTCGTTGTTGAGCTGCCAACTGACACTCCCGAAACATGCGCAACTTTAGGATCTCTGTCAGATGCGTTGTCCTCCTCCGCCTTTTCTTTCTTCATCGCATCTGAAACATTGTTCTTCAACGTATCCACACACTTTGTTGTATCATTCCCGTTGCAGTATTTCTCCTTAAGCTCCTCATCGGTCTTATTCGCAAGTAAAGCCAAAACCTCCAAGTACGTGTTATTGCAGAATTCATCCTGCGAAACTTTCTCACCAAAACCACAGCCGGCACCGCACCACAGCACGCAGAGGGCACACACCAGCAGCACACGGCCAGTCATCATCGCCATCACTCCTGTCACTTGCGTGCAGCCTTCAGCACAAAATAACTCCCCGCCAACGCAGAGCAGAAGTAAGAAAAGGAGAGACAAGTTATTCAGCCACGCACACTTTTCCATCCATGAATGGGAGTGAAGCACAGTAAAAAATAACAGCAACGCACACAAAAATGAGACAGATGGAATCTGTACAATTGCAAACCTCAAACGCCGCCCTGCAAACCAGAAGTTCTAAAATGCAAAAAAAAAAATTTAAAAAAACAACACACACACAAGGCTGCACCGCATGCACATGCGGCGAGAGCGGTCCGTCGTGTCGGCACCCCTCACGGAGGGTACGCACACACAAGAGGAGGCGCAGCGCACACAGCAACACAAAAGCAAAGTAACAATGAAAAGGAGAGATCCCCGCACACCACGTGGATTGTTGTTCCACGAGAAGTGCAGCCAATATTCATCATGTAAACAGCTTACATTGTCTTTACTCTTCTTTGCGTGTTGTGCCGGCAATCGGTGAGTAGCGAAAAGGCTTTCAGCAATAATGTGGCAAGTATTCCATCGCAAACGGGCCGTCGTTCGGGCTGGGACAGTCCTAAACAGTCACAGTCCTATTCCCAATGACGAGGACATCACCACAGTGAATGAGGCGGAGTTTCCCGTGGTCCGTCGGGAATCAGCAGCGCGTGGCGTCTGTGATCAAGCGGTGGCGGAAGAGCCTGGTCCATCTCGAGCGTCCACGTTTGTGCTTCCTGCGTGTCTTGCCTGCTGGCATGCTTGGCAACTTCGGTGGCGACCAGCGCACGAGGTGCCTGCTAGGAGGAAGGTGGCGCCATTGTGGCACCCGCATGTGAGGAATTCTCAAACTATCGGAACGCCAGGCTGAGAACGTCGGGCATGTGCCGTAATATTGTGGACGGACAAGCGCACTCTGCAGCCGATTGGGCAGGAGAATGTCAATCCGCCGCTCGCTGGTCGACAAGGAGTTGCGGCGCTCACGTCTGGAAGAGGTTCCGGCGGAGGCAGAGGCGGGCCGGTCTCCTCAGTGAAGAAAGGGACGGCGCCACCGACACAGGGAGTTCCTTGTGATCCGCAGGGCGCGCGGGCCTGTCGAAGAGTGGGCAGGCGTCGCATCGCGCCTGCGCGCCGTGCCGCCACTCGGGGACCGATGTCCGGGTCAGCACCAGGAACAGAGTCCTCGCCACACCGACAAGCGCCTGTCATGCGGTGTGCGCGCCTTCCTTTTCCTCCTGCGCTTCCCTTCAGTACAGTCGCCTGACTGCGGTGAGGAAGCCCACGTGCCAGGCATTGACGCAGCCCTTCGGGAGGGATCGCGCCATGACGGCATCGGCGTCCGCCATCACGCTGCGTGGGATTCCGCAGTGTCACGGTGAAAATGTGGAGTCAACAGAGCGAACTCGATACGCCAGTGAAAGCGGCACGGTACAAATCTTCTCGGTGATGTCGTCGTGCGCCGCCAGCGGGCCAAAGCGGAGCGACTCCATCGCCGAGAGGGAGTCTGTGGCGGCAGGAACTCGAGTGGGCGATTTGGATGTCGCTGCCAGGCGGAGAACTGAAAACTGTCTGTGGCCGCGCTCAGTGACAGGACGCTCCGCTCGGCAGGAGCATGCGAGGCTTCCAGCTGCTGCGCGGTGAGGCCCCACAGGGAGCGCGGCTGTCCGGGGAGGCAAGTGGCAGCGCAACAAACCCAGACGCATGCTGAGCGAGAGACGACGAGCCGTCCGTCCAGCGGCCTGCGTCATACGTTCCCAGAGAGGCGCACGCCGCTTCAACGGCCGATCGTCTGACACCGTCCAGGGCGTCCAGGGCGTCCTTGGCGTGCCGTGACTGGAAGACGCCCACCACGTTGCGGCCCACAGCTCCCCAGGTAACAATTCGCTGCTCAGCATGAGGGGCGTGGATGTGGTCCGGGAGATCTCCATGTGACCGCAGACGCGTCGCAATTCCTTGAGGACGGCGTCTTCTGGAGCGGATAGTCTTGGCCGTCATCCCAAGTATTGACGAGGGTGCGGTTTCTAAGCAGGTTGCGCCACGCACGTCCTCAATATATCGGAGAAGTGTGAGCCGTTCGTGCTGTGTGGGTGCGCGGAACCCAATGATCCTCCGCAGCGGTGCTAGATTAGTTTCCATGTGGACAGAAGTGTCCTTCGATGATGCGAGTTGGCCGAGCGATGCTGCGCAGCTGTCGCGGTGCCGCACTTCCAGGCTGTGGAGGTGAGTGGGGTCGGACACGGTGCGATGTCTTTGCCGCCGTGGTGTAACGCACTGTGGACGCATCCAACCAGAAAGGACTGCATGGTGTGATGGGACGCCCCAGCTCTTGCGCCCAGCCGCAGCCGATGGCGGCGTGGCACGGTCTACTTTGGTGTTTGTGTGAAGAATTTTGCTGTTTTTTAAATTCTGGTACGGAACGATGGTGCATTGGCGTTTCCTGATTCGGTAGGAGCATTGTGTTTCTGAAGAAGCCGTTGCAGGTGTTCAGCGTCGTTGTGAATAACAGATGTGCGCCTGTCTCCGTGAAAGCGACAACAATGTCCCCAGATTACAACATAAAGCACTGCGGCCTTATCTGATGTTTTACATCTATTTTATTGGACGCTGCGTTTGTATTCAATCTTTTGCAGCTTTTGTGGGGAAGGTGGGAGGCTGATGGCATGAGGACTGAATTCATTGAGTGGCTGCGTACCGTTGACTTGCGGCCAGTCGTGGCACTCTTTTGGGGTTTGGCAGCTCGTCTCTTTTGTTTACTTTCCACTGCATCACGTGGATAACACTGATCCGAGGAACATTTGTTTTACCGCGTGTGAGCTGCTGCCGTGCGTGGTGCATGGACTATGTGATTGTGTGGGGAGGTGCATTGGGGTGACGAACTCTTCTGTTTGGCGTGTCGCGGTGTGTCGGAATGATGTTCGGATGACATGTGAAGGGTGTTGTTTGTGGTTTGTGTGTCTTCTCTGGTGGAGCCGACATGTGTGCGGGGATTGTGGCATTGCTGGCTGACAGCTCCACGTCACTTTTCGGCATTCCTGGATGTGCTGAGGAATGACGGCTGGCGACCAGCGTGTTGGTGCTGCTGGTGGGAATAAGTGCATCGGGAATAGGCCGTTTTTCTTTTCCATGCTGGAGCCGATGAAGTGGCACGAGGGCACCGGCTGCGGGCTGCCTGCCAGCACGTGTGAGCAGCGGATCCATGCACGCACCGACACTCATCGCAAGAGCTCGCGCGATCATAGTGGCCTTTTGTGGCGTGCTTTTGTGGACGTCAGCCCGTCGAGGAATGTGTGAAGCAAACGGCTGACTGCACACGAGGAAAGTAAGTGCGTGCACTGTGCCGTGTTTCAGCGTCGATGGCAGGGCGACAGGAGGCCCGTGCTGGCAACTGAGATCTTTGCGTCGCGAGGGATGTCGGTGTTGATTTTGGATCGTCGAGGGTGAAGTGATTTTGCTGCTGCCCGTTTGTGTGGCCACTCCGGCAGAGGGCGGACACAAAAGGGAGGGATGCAGGCGCTGCGTGTGTGTGTGCAGGTGCCATGCAACAACGTCACAACAAACATGCTGCGACTCGGTGACCCTCACATCGTTGTGTTCCTCACTCACAGCCGAGGCACGGCACACATCGATGCACTCAGTGGACGGAGTGAGGCTTCTTTTGAGGCGCAGCAGGGAACAGGATGTGTTGATGCAGCCACGACGTGCATGGAGTGTCACGATGGCACAGCCGGCTGTGGCTGGTGGAATAATTGCTTCTCGGAGGCAACAGAGAGAGAGAGAGAGCTGCTGGCGTCTTTGCTGCCTTTTGTGGCCTCCCATGCCGATTATTGTCTGTCCGCTGAATATGTGTGGCATGCCTCCACTAGTGACGGCGTCTGCAGGCATTTCACAGCACCAGTGAAACACGTATCACGTCGCATGCTTTGGCTGTGGATGTGGTGTTGTGAATGCAGCCGGCATTATTTTGCCCGACTCCCTTTTCACTGCATTGCGACGAATAGATGCGTCGCCGCCCGAGTCATTCACTGCAGCTCCGTGTGCTGTACTGCCAGCACAAGACTCTCGTGTTGTCTGGCGCCTGGCTGACAGTCCAACACCACTGCGTTGGGACATGCAGGGATGTGGACTGCCGCTCACGGTGTTGGGCACCGCTGTTTGGATGCGGCGGCCACACGAGCGGATGCATTGTGGCACAATCAAATGCGTGAAATACGCGGAATCACAGCGGCTGCAATAATATCAGCGGTGTGGCACCACGGAGTATGTGAGGGGGTGATGCATGATGAATCACAGTGGGCGGCATGCGAGGGAAGTGCACCGCGACGGAGCGTCATCCCGCCCTCAGCCTGCAGGGGAATGTACGCCCACAAAATATATGGACGAGACACCACCAAACACACATGCCCTTCCATGCACCAATAAATAGGAGCGAAGGTGCGTTCTGGTTTGTGGGAGTCCACTCACATATTTTCATTTCCACCGCAATAAACGGTGAGGAATCATGTGCCACAGCAACGAAAGGAAAAACAAACATCTATTGCAACACTTTACCAGCGAAAGGCAGGAACAACACAAACCGAACTATTGGCTGCAACAACACAAGAAACATTCACAAGAGGAAAGAAAACAGTTGTGCACCCTGCGGAAATCCCCAACACACTACCCAGGCATGAGGGTTTGCTCTCCGCAAAAACAAAACAACGCATGCAGACATCTGCCAACATCCAAACTGAAATACAAATAAATGATTGCTTGCATTATTCCATTCCTTGCGCTTATTTTTGCGTGTGCGGCTGTTGCTGCGATGGTGCCGTGTTTGCATGAAGTGGTGTGCGCTGAATATGAACGAGGGTCGAAGACAACTGAACTGTTTTTGTGATGGATATTGGCTGCACTTCCCGTGGACCAACAATTCACGTGGTGTGCGGGGATCTCCTTTTTTTATTGCTACTTTGTTTTTGTGTTGCTGTGTGCGCCGCACCTCCTCATGTGTGTGTGCGTACCCTCCGTGAGGGCTGCCGACACGACGGACCGCTCTCGCCGTGTGTGCATGCGGTGGAGCCTTGTGTGCCGCTCCTGTTTGCTTCTGCCTCCTCCATCTGTGTGTGTTGTTGTTGCGGCAGGGCTGTGTGTGTGTGCCTGCTGCCGTGGATTGGAGTGTGTGTTGTGCGTGGTGTGCGGCGTACGGTGCATGCCTGGCTGCTGCCCTCTCCTCTTGTGTGTGTCTGCCCTCTGTGTGTGTCTGCCGCACCTCTCGTCTCCCCTGTTGCTCTCCATGTCCCTCACTGTGCAGATCAGCTCCACACCACTGAACGACCACACTCACGATGATGACGTGCCGTCTGCTGTGCGCCCTGTTGGTGCTCGCCCTCTGCTGCTGCCCGTCCGCATGTGCGGCAGAGACTGCGGGGGTCAATAAAGTTGAAGTTGATGGTAATGACTCCAGTGACTTGTCCCATACACGTGGAGGAAAACCAGCCACGGCGGCCGGTGAGCAAGGTTCGCCAGTTCCGGTGCTGGTTACTGAACGGCGAAGCGAAGTCGGACATGGTGGAGGTGCGCCAAATCCACAACCGCAACCAAGTGCTGCTTCCAATGATTTACAAGGAGAAGTTACGAATGATAAGAAAAATACAGAAAGTGGCACGAGTTCGTCCGCAGAACAAAGAAATAGGAGTGAAGAAGATTCCCCCCAGAAGACCACGACGACCACGACTACACTAGCACCAACCACGACCACTACGAGCACTACAACCACTACAACAATGGCACCAAGCACTACGACTACAGATGCGCCAACCACGACGACAACCCTCACACCGTCACGTCTTCGCGAAATCGACGGCAGCCTCAGCAGCTCTGCGTGGGTGTGTGCCCCGCTGCTGCTCGCCGTATCCGCGCTGGCGTACACCACTCCGTGCTGAAGAGGTGTGTGCGGGCTGTGCGTGCCAGCACTCAACCGCGGTGACATGTGTGTGTCTACTGTGGTCCGATGTAAGTAAATAAAATAAAATAATGATTATGTTTTGCTTCATTTGCTTTCGCTGCCCTGCTGTGTGCTCTATTTTGCTGCTCCCTGTATCCGTCATGTTGAACGCGCACCAGACACACCCATTTGCACGACATGCATACAAATTCTTGTGAGGAATTACATTTGTTTGAATGCATGCACACTGGAGTCGTTCCCAGCAGCTTTTTTTGTGTTTTTTACTCGTGTTTTTTTAATTGTTTTTCTTTTGCTGATTATTTGCTCTGGCTGTGTGTGTGCGTTTTTGCTTTTTTACTGATTCTATCTGTCTTGTGATTTCCTGTCTTGTGGTGTGTGCTGCCACTCTGCGGTGGTGTGTGACTTGTTTCTCCTTTTGCTTTCACTTTGCGTTGACGGGGAGTTAGTTTGTGCTGAAGGCTACACGCAAGTGACAGGAGTGATGGCGATGATGATGACTGGCCGTGTGCCGCTGGTGTGTGCCCTCTGCGTGCTGTGGTGCGGTGCTGCGGTGGTAGGTGTGACGAGGAGGAGAGGGCAGTTTCTGGGAGTGGTGATGAACCTCCGCCGGGATCAGCAGAACATGGAACGCCTCGAAAAGAAACCCAAGAATTAAAAGATGGAGCACCAGGTGTTACAGAGACAGCATCACCCCCATCTTTGAAACCTACAGGGGAAGATAAAGACGATGATGATGAAGATGATGCAGGTGGTGATGAAGATGATAATGAGACGGATGAGACAAAAGAAAAAAGAAGAGAAGGGCAGAGTAATAAAGGAGGAACAGTTCTACCAGACACAGGTTCCGGGGAAAGGAATTTAACTGGCAGCGGGCAGGAAACAGGCCAGTCAAATGTACCTGCAGGGGGCATTTCACCTTCCGGCAGTCAGTTATCAAATGCCAGTCCTTTGCGAACGGAAGTTGAAGAAAAGAATGACACCGATAAGAGACCACCTGCAGAGAATCCACTCACAACAGTTAATGGAGAGCAAACACTGCCTGAGTGAATTGCGGAAGGAAATCTTCCACCACCTCAAGAAGAAGGTTTTGATTCCCGCAAACAGGATGGCAATGACACTATGAGTGAATATAAAAAAAATGCTCCACCGCCTGAGACCGCAGCCACACCAAAAAGCCACCGAGACGAAGGCCCAGAAGGGACTGGGGAAGATACAAAAGCAACAACAGTAACCGCCAACACAACTGATACGACGAGCACACAAAACAGTGACGGCAGCACCGCGGTCTCCCACACCACCACCTCCCCTCTTTTGCTTCTTCTTGTTGCGTGTGCGGCTGCTGCTGCGGTGGTGGCCGCGTGAGAGTGAGTGAGAGAGCCATGCACCGCCCGCACACACACTCGTCCTTCACTCACTCTCCGTGTGTGTCCCCTTGCATGGACTCTCGCCCTCACCTCACCCCACGAGGCACACCCATAATGTGCCCATTGTATATATGCATGCACACCCATGCAGGCCGTTGGTGCTCTCTTTTGCACGACACGCACCGCTGCCGTCCTGCCTGGCTGCATGGGCGGAGCACCGTAACTGTTTCTGCTTTTGTTTCCATTGCATTGAGTGGGCGACCTCTCTCTCTCTCCCTCTGTGTGTGTGTTTTGCTTTACGGGAGCAATGAGAGTGTGTGTGCACTGGTCGTCCCACGCTTCGGCTTTTTGTTTTGTTTTCCTTTTTGATTTTGTGGCTGAGTGCACGCATTACTTTTTTTTTTTTGATTGGCATGCTTTGACTGCGTAAGCATAAATTCTGTTTTTAATTTTTTCTTTTTCTTTCTTTTGAGATATTGCCAGTGTTTCTTATTCTTCTCAAGCCATGAAGTATTTTCTGTTACGTACAGCATGCGTCAGTTGATCCACGTCGCCTCACGGTCTGCAGTGCTGCTGGTGCTTCTGGTTGTGATGTGTTGTGCCGGAGGGTGCTTTGCTGCCAGCCTGACGTGCTCCTGCTCCTCTGACAAGGCGATGCGTGCGGACAGGGCAAAGTCGATCCCGGCTGTGGTGAGGGACGCGCTTCTTGATATGAGGGTGCGTCGCAGACATGCAGCGTCATTGGGAGGAATGGATGGGCGCCCACCCGCATCGATGTGTCGACAAGGGACGTGGATGGCACCAGGAAGTATTGCGGCTCAGAGCGGTATTGCGCAATGAATTCATTGGTGGCAGCTGCGAGTGTGAAGGTGACGTTTTTCTATGCTGAGAAAAGGGAAGCATTTGCTCCGTTATAATTTGCGGCCACTGTTCGTTAATGGCCTGCGGGCTGTCCGTAGCGATGTGGCCAGTTTTTCCCTCTTGAACGGTGCTGTCGTGCGAGAGGGTGTGTTCCCAAATAGTCGGATGCTCAGTTGTCGAGGACGGGGGCATTCCCACAGCGTGTGCGGCAGGGCCTCCCGTGGATTGTCGGCGGCTCAGCGGCTGGTGGGGGTTGCAGCAGAGGAGTGGCTGAAGGGCTACGGCTGTCATTGGAGCTTGCAGAGGTGTTTTGTCCGTTTTTTGCTCGTTGATACGCTTGACATTTTCGGTAGTGACCTGCGCGTGAGGCATTTGTTGGGAAGACTGTGGAGCTGTCGCAGAATCCACATGTGAGGCCTTCTGCAACGATTGGAGTGCGAGGGTTAGTGCGTCGGGCGCGTGCCTTCATATTGTGGACGGACGAGAAGACGCTGCTGCAGCTTAGGCGGGGCGACGTTGATCTGCTGCTCGTCGTTCTACGAGGAGGTGCCGTGGACACGCCAGCTGGAGGTTCCGGAGGAGGTCGGGGCGGTCCTGCCTCCTCAGTGTGGGAGGAGCAGCACCACCGACATAATGGGTTGCTTGTGATCCGCAGGGCGCGTGCTGGTATGCCGAGGAGTGGGCAGGAGGACGTCCATCAGCCGCTTGCTGCTCGGCAAGGAGTGGCGGTGTTCACGTCGGGAAACGAGACGCTGCGGCCGCTGCTCCACGTTGCCTGTGCCGGGTCGTCAGACAGCTCAATCTCCATGTCGATTGGGGTGGCGGCGAGGTCCTCTCCTGACGTCGTGGATGGTGAGCGACCGTCCCGCAGCTCATGGTGTGAATTCAGGTCACAAATAACCGCTGCAGGACCAAAACGACGAATGGTGCTCGCAAACTGGGCAGCGTGAGCGATTTCCAGAAAAAGGTTTCAGAGGTTCACCACTTACATGCTGGGGCACACGCGGAAGGCGGTGGTCTCCAGGCAGTTGGTGCCACGGGCTACAAGCGCTCGCATGGCAAGGTGTGCGCACCAAGAAGGCCACGCCACCGGCACGCCCACTGCAGGCCTGGTGGAAGTCACCGCAGCCAATGAGCCTCGTCGCTGGGGCACTCTTGTGCCTGCACTCCTGCAGAAGAGCCATGCCGGGCTGTTGCTGCGCCAGTCGAGCAGCAGGGCAATCCTGAAAGACGAAGGGCCTTAAGGTATGAGCTGCCAGACAACTACGAGGCCATCCTCATCGAGGCTGCGGCTCTTGCGGACACCACCGCAGCGGGTGATGCCGACGAAGTGGCCGCAATGAAACGACTGTGCGGTTCTGTCAGTCGGGCTGCAGGCAAACCGCCTCGCCGCTCCACAACTAACGGAGCGTGGCACCTTCTCGAGGGGTGGCGCCGTCGTGGTCCCCATCACGGTCGCATCAATGCCCTGCCGCAATCACTCCCACAGAGAGAAAGGGAAGTGTGTGGATGTGTGCCGAGGGCACAGCGACTGCCATCGTCCGAGTAGGCCATCGTGGCACCGTCCGTCACGCGTCAGCACACAACGAGCAACGCACGCACCCGGCAGAGCAAAAACAAATAGGAGAAAAGAATGCCCCAAGAGCAGGCAACACCTCCACCCATGGCGGGCATCGTGCAGCCGTGTTGCCATTTCAGCACGGGACGTAAGCCAACGTCCCGCTGTCGCCAAAGCATTCTCGCAGAGCACCGTGCAAATACTTGTTTTCTGTGTGTGTGCTGGAGGAGCACAGGGAGGCACATCAGGACGGCACTAGGCACAGCTGGATCGCAGGAATAAATGCGGTGCGGCCTCAACCTCAATCACGCACGGTGGCGGCACACACCACCCACAAAAAATAACATGAAAAATCTTAAAAACACAGCGGCAGGGTGTGGCTGTGTGTGTGGCGCTGCGGGTGTCTGCCCGCCCTCGCCGCAAAAAAGCAAAACAAGAGGGAAGAAATGTGTGCTCCGCCCCACAGGCCCTCGTCGCACGCCCACGCGTCACGGCTCCCTCAGCGCGCCGTTCGTCGCGGCCCCTCCTCATGCGTGCAGCAGGCGAGGCGCACAGGGCCGTCGTCATGAGCGTGTCGGTGGGTGTGCGAGTGGAGCAGTTGGGCGGAAACACACGGCACCCCTCACAGGAAGAGTGCAGCAACAAACAATTAAAGAGGGAAGAGTAGAAAAGAAAAAACGTCCAGAGTGATTGCCCCCGAAAGCAAAAAAAAAAAAAGAGTAAAGATGTTGGAGTAAAAGACTTAAAACGCACAAACCAATGACAAAAAAAGAGTAGCAAAAATATTTAAAGCACACCGAAAAAAAATTAAATTTACGAGTAAAACAATAAAAAAAAGCGTGGGACGACCAGCGCACACACTCTCATTACTCCCGTAAAGCAAAACACACACACAGAGGGAGAGAGAGAGAGAGGTCGCCCACTCAATGCAATAAAAACAAAACAGAAACAGTTACGGTGCTCCGCCCATGCAGCCAGGCAGGACGGCAGCGGTGCGTGTCGTGCAAAAGAGAGCACCAACGGGCCTGCATGGGTGTGCATGCATATATACAATGGGCACATTATGTGTGTGCCTCGTGGGGTGAGGTGAGGGCGAGAGTCCATGCAAGGGGACACACACACAGAGAGAGAAGGACGAGTGTGTGTGCGGGCGGTGCATGGCTCTCTCACACTCACTCTCACGCGGCCACCACC